CCCGACATAGCTGCCCGGGAGCCCCTGGGTGGGTCGGCAGCGCGGGGCTGCGCTCGGCGCGACGGGTCGCCTGAGGTCCTGCCGCGCCAGCCCGCTCTGGCCTTAACCTTTGGTCCCGCTTGGGGACGCGGCAGGTGCCGGGCAGCCACTTCTCAGATCCGTGTTTTTACGGAGAAGGGTCGTTGGAACAGAAAAAGCACGCAGGTGTCCTGCAGGAAAGACACAGCCCAGACTGAGGCGGTGGGAGACCGGCCTTTTCTCTGAGCGTATCTTGAAGTTGTTCCAGGCCTGCTCTCAGGTGGTGAATGGAGACCAGCCCAGAACTATGAAATTGGCTTTATCTGCTAAAAGTAAACCGTAATTTTAGGAGTGAATTTGCCTGTTCCAGCTGTTACTGCTACTCTATGATTTATGAGAAAACAGAACTGCTGGAGAGGCAACTTCACTTGATTACTCAGGACTGTTACAAAAACAATCATTCCACTTAAAGGGAAGTGTAAAAAGTCCTCAAAAAGTCATCCAGATGTTTTACGAAAACTTTTAAAAGTGACTATCAGCTTTCTCTGATGATTTCAGATGAAAAATACTCCCTTGGTCTAATTATGAAAAATTATAAATGAACAATTTTTAAATTTAGCACAAACCAGATTTTTTGAATGTGAAACTTTATTATTACCACCTTTAGCAATTTAATGTTGACCCCTGCCAGACCTGGTCTGGCTGCTGTAGATCCAGCGCATCTGCAGTAGCCTTAGGTTGGAGGCTGAGCAAGACTTGAGCTGGCTCTGCATATCTGAGGTTGGTTTGCCTTTTTTTTTGCAGGGGAAGGAAATGTGAGCTGGCTTAATTTTCTTTACTGGTTTAACTCCTTGAACCAACTTGGGCTTCAAGGATCACAGAAGCACGAGGGGAAAGAAGCAGCAATGCAGAGGCGTTGTCTGGAAAGGGCAGGATTGCAGCAGTACTGACTTAATTTATTTAACCTTTCACAGACTAACACCCTTAGGATTGTGATGCAGGAGTTGGGGGGCAGCTTATGTTGGTACAGGTGTAGTGATTTGTGTCCTCAGCTGTCCGTGCTGCTTCTTTGTCTGAAACAAACCCAGAGCTGGAATAGGTAAGCTTCTTTTACAGCAGCTACTAGCCCACCGCAGCTTACTACCCAGCATACTGATGCGACTCCAGATCAGTTTATTTTGATGTGCCCTGCTGTAAACTGAAGCAGTTTGGCTGAATCTTCACTGCAGTTTGACCCCTAGATGCTATGGAATTATCATAATAGAAAACAAGAAACTTTACTTACTGCCTTTCTTTCATCTTCGTGAGGAAAGGACAAATACTTAAAAGTTTGGATGCTCTTCCTTCTGTATTAGCTGAAAAAGGAGGACTATCTGGCAGGTCAATCTGAAATAGAAGCACCTTGCAGTATCTGGTAGAGAAAGAAGAAATACTCGGACTGAAAGTCCTGTGTTATGTCAGTTCTGTATGTTGTAGAACAATGTTCCAGCTGTTGACCTGCAGGCCCAGTCCAGCCTCTGGGATGCTTTTGTCTAAACGATTACCTCTCCTTTGCAGGAGATGAAGATGTGTTTGCACTGTGTATGCTGCCATAATAGTTGAACGCTTTGCTGTGCACGATCTGTGCATGCGTGTCTGTGGCAGTCCAAGTTGGAGCAAAGGAGAAATGAAGGCATGCTTCCTCTGTATTTGTGTGGCCCGGTACAAAGCCTGGAAGTTGTCCCTAGTACATCTGTAATCCTGAATCTGTCATCTAGACCTGTAGGCACAGAGACTGGAGCGTACAAAGAAGATAAATATTTTTAGTTAGATGTTTTCCCCATTTATCTCCTCATTTATGCTATCAGACTGATCAGTGTTTAAAAATAGTTTGTGTGCATATGTCAGTATTGCAAAAATTACAAGCAGGTATCCTTTAAGGAAAACAAACATTTAAAAAAATGGTAGTAGTAGGTGGGGGTGAGGTGGGAGATGTAGAGGCTAAAGACCATCAAATTTTTGAATGACTTCCTTAAAAGGAGATGTTGGCATCTGAAAAACAAAGCCCTGTAATTAGGGTTTGGCTATGCGCTTGCTCTGGTCTTGGTATGTGCGAGTGCCTTGGCACAAATCTGGCTGTCATATCTGCAAAATGGAGAATACTTTTTTCAGCAGAAGTTGTGAAAATACTGAAGCAATGGAAAATAAACAAAAGTTGTTGAACAGTTTGTAGTCCTTCTGATCTCTTGCAGATACGTATTTCCTTGTGTCGTGTGCACTCTTTTAAATTTTAGGTGGGAGGACAGTTTAATGTTAAAGGGCTGATCCAGCAAAATGTTAGATTTTACCTATGTTCTGGAGTTTATACTTTCCTTTAACAAACAATTCTTCAGACAGTATCCTGAGCATCAAATTGGGTTTTGTTCTTGTTTACTTTTAGATGCCTGTCTTAGATGTCAAGCTGAAAACAAACAAGAAGATTGTGTTGGTATGTAGTGATTTCATTTGCTTGTTTTTCAGTTGAAGCTTTTCTCTCGGTAGGGTGCATTTTAAAGTTTGAAGGGAATATTAATTTTATTAAAGCTCAAAAGTGAACTGTGTTTAATTCTACAGTGTGTCCTCTTTTTACATTAGTAGTGCTTTGATTCTGTCGTTTTATTTTCAAGCACTAATAAAATTAGCGTTCGCTTCAGATATGACGTGGAACAAAATAACTTCAAATTTTCAATTCATCTTTTAGCATATATGCTATTTTCTTATAACGTTTGCTTCGTAACTTTAAGTCAACTTTTAAAACCCGTGGTAAACCTCTCCACACCCTTCTTCTTTCTGTTTTAAAGTATAGTGTCTCAAACTTAATCCGCTGTTATTTTTGAGGGTTGTTTTTTAACCAGAACAGGAATTACCTGTTCCAGAACCCTTAGTTGGCTTGATAAGTGTCCTATTTAAGATAATCAGAGAGTAATAAAAAACAAAACAATTTAAAACACTCCTTGCATGACTCCTTATGTTCTATTACTGTTAACTAATAGGCAAAAAAGCGAAGTGGTTAGTACTATTCAAGAGTAGACGGAAAATAGATCACCCTTTTGGTACGCTGAAGTAACTGTATCCTGTGAACAACTTCTGCTCTGAGATCCCATTTTGAGCCTATATGCTATGTCAAATGTGCCGCCTTCTTATCATGAATTTAAGTTTAAACACTAGATTTCAGATAAGAATTTGGTAATATGCTCTTTTGTGATAGTGAGTAGTGCATTGGCTGTATTTTGGTAATGGGGAAGTTAAAGTCAACAGAACTTAGCCAGATAGTTGTGCTTGTTCCTAGTCAGAATAATAAATGTGTTTACACATACCACAGACCTGTACAAGATGAGAATGTATGTATTTCTTTTCATTTGGAAATAAATGCAAAGATTGGTGAGGGCGAGCTGAGAAGTATCATCAGAATGACAGTAATAATCCAGTCTCAGTGGGTAAAGCACTGGTGATGCATTTTCTATCTAAACATCATATAAGCTTGCAATAGCTATAAACATCTGAGAATGAGAATTTGGACCTTGCTATACATGTTAACTGGACATCTATTTAAGACTTTAACTGGAACATTTTCTTTTCTTTCAGTGGTCTGGGGAGAATGCAATCATTCCTTCCACAATTGCTGCATGTCCTTGTGGGTGAAACAGAATAATCGCTGTCCCCTTTGCCAGCAGGACTGGGTAGTCCAGAGAATAGGCAAATAAAAACACTGGAAGTTTTTTTTTTCTGTTGGACTTGTTGAAATAGTGTATGTCTTATGCCATATGCTCATACAAAAGAAAGGAACAGGCCAGTTATGGCACAGTTTATTTAGTTTGTCTGCTACAAGAATGGAGTGGTTTTGTTGTGCACTCTCTGCTGTATTAGGAAGCAATGGTCAGTCTTATTCCAGATCTTTCCACAACTGAAAAGAGACGCTACATTAACAAACGTGTCTATTACGATTTGAGCGTTAACTGTATCGGTGTCAGAACATGAAATGTGTGTTGGTACAGATTATGCCCCAAATACGGTCTAATGTTTTTGGTTAGAGGAATGAGTTAATTCAAAAGGGAGATCTTTTTTAAAAGTCTGATATAC